TGTAATTTTTATGCACCAGAAATACGTACTAATAAAATCAAATGGTGTGTTTAAACAAAAAATATATTACAGTAAAAAACACATTGTCATTAATTCCCCTGAAAATTCCCTTGCTGCAAACACACTTATCCCATTGTTTCTGTCATTTTCTAAAGCTGGAAGTCCTCTTGCCTTGGTGCCTTTCTCTGGCTGCTTCAATGTTCTGCACAAATTCAAAATGTTAACAGCAATTTCTGTCAAATAAAAGCTTTATGATGAGTCCTCCTCTACCTTATTTACTGGATGTGGCATTGTGCAACTTCTAGCTCTTCCCCAGTCAACATGACTGGGGAAAATAAATGTTTTGAACTGATTCAGGGCTCAAGGTAGCCAACAACAACGTGACTAAAAGATACAAAAAGGACTTCCAGAACTGCTTCAGAAAGTGGCAAGAATGCCGAGATAGATGAATTTGAAATGAAGTGGAATATATTGAGGGGGATTTTTTTTTTATCTCAGAGATTCAAGGATGGTTCAACGTACATGAATCAATAAATGTAATACGTCACATAAACAGAAGCAAGGCTTAAAAAAACCCACATGATCATATCAATAGATGCAGAAAATGCTCTCAACAAAATCCAACACCCTTAATAGCAATATTACTGTAATACATTTTTAAAACATTTTAAATATCCACTATATTTTTTATCATAACCTGTGTTAGTTTTCTGTCACTAGGACAAAATACCTGAGATGTTTTGATTACAAGGAAGAAAGGTTTATTTTAGCTCATGGTTTTAGCTCACAGTTTCAAGTTTCAGACCATGGTTGTTTGGCTGCACTGTTTTGAGCCTGTGGTGAAACCAAACATCATGGTGGAGGAATGCATGGTTGAACAAGCTGCTCACTGCCCGGCAGCCAAGAAGCAAAGAGAGGTACAGGGATGGTCCGAGCCCCAGTATAACCCCTTCAAGGACACACCACCAATGGCCTCACTTCTACTCATCTCACCTCCTAAAGCTTCCGTACTTCTCCAAGGTGTCATCCAGTAGCGGCCAAGCCTTCAATACATAAGCCCCTGAGGGACATGAAAAATCTAAACCATATCAAGATAGTTACAGTTTTGGGGTTGTTCCTGCATATTGAAATATATAAGATGCTCCCTGGCAGTGAAGCTGGGCCTAGAAGTGGAGCTATATTTGACTTGCAAAGGTTCAGTTACATCTCTCAAACTTCACTACATGTAACAAACACCCGGGACCGTTAAAGACTACTAATGCCCAGATGGCCTTACCAAGGTTATTTACTTCCCTTCCCGTCTTTGGACCTTTCAATTTGTTTGTTTTTCTTGCCTTATTGAAGTGGGTTACCAAGGGAGACCATTTGGCTCCCTTTTCCCCACAAAGCCAAGAGGAAACATCCGGAGACATTTTTGATTGTCACAGCTGGGGGAAGGTAGGGTGAAGTAGTACCACTCAGATCTAGTAAACAGAGGCCAAAAATACTACTGAAGATTCTGAACTGCATAGAACAGCCTGCCTGTAAAAAAGATTTATCCAAACACTGTATCAGTCATCCGAAGGGTGGGAAACTAACTCTACCTTTATAGACCGGTTGTGCTTTCCAGCAGAATTATGAAATCAAAGGGAAAGAACAAACATCCATATCTTATTTCAGACCTTATCAGGAAACATTTGGCTTTCTGCTAGTAAGCATGCTGCCAGCTGTACACTTTTGTACATACCCCTGCTAAGGTAAAGGAACAAGCTGCCATTCTCTTCCTAGTTGGCTGAGTTTTTTATTACTATAAGTGGGAGTTGCATTTTATCAAATGTTTTTCTGCATCAGTTCAGATGTTTGTTATTTTTCTCTTTTAGCTTATTAACATGGAAAATTACTGATTAATTTTAAAGGTTAAAATGAATTCCTGGGGTAAGACCCATTTGACTGCTATATCGCTAGATCCAATTTGATTAAATTTTTAGGATTTTTACATCTATGTTGAAAAATACTAGTTTTTCTACTTTCTGTTTTATTTTAACTAATGATTGTGGGGAGTTCGTACATGTTTATTACACATCTCAATTCTTTTTACTCCACATTGTTGAATAGAAGTCACCAGTAAAGCCCAATTTGGCCTAGATTTTTCTCTATCAAATGATGATTATGAATTCAGTTTCTTTGGTGTGTTTATACATTGCTACTTAGGTTATCTGTCTGTCCCTTCTTGAGTTAGCTTTAGTAGTTTTTGTCTTCCAAGAAATTTCTCATCAATGTCAATTTACTGGCACAAAATATAGTTGTTTCTTATTTATCTATTTTGGGTGCTGGGGATTGAACCTAGTGCCTCTCATTTATTTTAACGTCCATAAAATATGCAGTGATACTCTTTAATCTCTGATAGTAATAATTTTTTCCTCCTTTTTTTGTTAGTTTGGCTAAAATTTTAACACTATTAACTTTGAAGAACTAGCTTTTTATTTCATTAATTTTCTCTTAAAAAATTTTTGTTACCTCTATCATTCCCTTCTCTCTGCTTATTTTAGATTTAATTTGTTCATCTTTTAATTTAAGGGAGGAGCTTAGATCATTGATTTGAGTCCTTTCTATTTATATAATGTAAGCACTTAATGATATAAATTTCCTTTAAGCACTAAGTTGGCTGTATCACACTTTGATAAACTGTGTTTTAATTTTCATTGAGATGAAAATGTTTCTCACTGCTCTTGCAATTTCTCCTTTTACCCAAATATTTGAGGATTGGTCATGTAAGTCTCTGCTATTGATTTCTCCATTAAGTCCACTGTGACTAGAGACTATAGTTTATGTGGTTTCATGCTTTAAATTTGTTGGCAATTGCTCTTTAGCCAAGAATATTTTGAAGTTTCCCACCCTTTGGATGACTGATACAGTATTCGGATAATTTACAGGCAGGCTGTTCTGTGCATTATAGAACCTTCAGCAGTATTTCTGGCCTCTGTTTACTAGATCTGAGTAGTACTGCTTCACCCTACCTTCCCCCATATACAACCGAATATGTATGTTGTGAATACTGGTGGAGTGTTCAGTAAGCATCAATTAGGTTAAATCAGTTGTGAGTGTTACTCAAGTTTTCCATATCTTCACTGATTTGCTTAGTCCATCAGTCACTGGGAAATGATTTTCTGATTCCAATGTAATTCCATATTTTCTTCCATAATTATCATGGTTTCATTTTCACACTTACATTTTTGAACCATGTGGGATGTCTCTAGGTATACACAAGTAGATGTGGATACAATCTTTTACTTTTCTTCTTTCAGCACCAATATATTTCATCATTAATATTTTAGGTAGCACACTGTAGTGGTTGACTGTGTCAACTTGAGAGGTTTAGAAGCTTAACTAAATTGGCTCCTCTGTATCCTAGGGTGGCTCATCACCTAGATGATATAAAGGGTAATATGGAAGGACAAAGGGGCTTCCATTCTTCTTAGGAGCTCCAGTCTTTGCCTTCAACTTGGATGTCGTCTCCTGGCTTCTAGTGCAGACTTTTTGGCTTCCACCTTAGACCCTTCAGCCTTCGTGTATAGACTCTTCAGCCCTCCGTCACAAACCCATCGGCCTCCTGATATGGACTTGTATGGAACACTGCAGTGAACTCGACTTTGGACTGAATCCTTTGGTCTCCAGTGTGCAGACACTCTGTGCATGCTTCCTCATCCAACTGTGTGGCTCACCATCATAAGTCAATCTTGTAATTTCTTATACATTTGTGTATCTTGTGTTATATCTATTTCTCTAGTACAACCCTGACTGCTACACACAATAAAGATGTCTCTTTTTTTGTTTTTTCGTTTTGATTTTATTTTGTTGTTTGGTTTTTCTTGGGAGGGCGGTGATTTCTTTCTTTTTTTTTTTTTTTTTTTTTTTTTTCTTTCTGAGATAGGGTCTCCCTATGCAGTTCAGGCTAGCCTTGAGTCCACTTTGTAGCTCAGGCTGGTCTCGAACTCACAACAATCCTCCCGCCTCAGCCTCCTGAGTGCTAGGATTACATGTGTATGCCTCCACGCCTGGCCACTCTAGAAATATTCGAGCTGCGAAGAATTACATATAATTTGAGCTCTAAAATTTTTCGTAAATCTCCTAAACATTCTTCTTTTTAGAAGATATTTTTCGCCTTCATGCTAATTTTACAAGTGTTACAGGTTTTGGTTTTCTTTCCTGTGTGTGTGTGTGTGTGTGTGTGTGTGTGTGTGTGTATTTGGATTTTTGGTTTTTTTGTTTTTTTTTTTTTTTTTTTTTTTTTTTTTGAGCCACATCTGCTTTGGACATAAAATCAAAGCAACTCCTTAGCCAGCCCCTTAGTGGCACTTTTATAAATCCTGTGGATCCCTTCTCCCCATCAACAGCTTCCAGTTTATTACTAAGCTGTCCATAGATCCTTCTTTTCACAGGCTTTGCAACTGCTGCTGCTGTCCCCTCTGTCATTATACCCCTGTCTCCGAGTCCCTGGCTTTTGGCCTTGGGAAAGCAGTCGTCACACTACTCAGGTTTAACAGGGCAGTTCTGTTTGAGGTGAATTTGTTGCTGGTCCTACAGTGACGGTAGGAGACCCCTCTAGAATTCCCCTGCTTCCTTATCCTTGAGCCCTTATGCACTTGGTCCTCTTTCTGCCTGCGTAGTACCACGAGGTTCACTCCCTAACCTCTGTTGATTCTTTATTTAAGTATCACCTGCTCAGCAAGGCCTCCTGGTCACCCTACTTTACTGCACACTACCCCCTTTCCGCCTAGCATGCTCTCACCTCCTCTCCTGTATTGCCTCCTCCATAGAACTTATCTTCTAATATAGTTTATATTTGCTTATTCTGTTGGCCTCTTCCCTCTGACATATAAACTTCTCACAAATCAGTTTTTGCCCGGTTCATTCACACTGGATCCAAAGAACCCATAGTGCTTGACACTGAGTAATAAACATTTGTGAAATGAACAACTCCTGAAGTGCAGCTTCTCACTGATCTTTACCACCCTCCCCAGCCCCGTGACTTCATGAGACTATTTACCAGTAGGCCGTGATGGACCTGGTCCCACTTCCCAGCGAGGAGGCCAGAACCAGTGTGAAACACATACGCCCCTCACATCCCCAGAGGGAAGGTAAGAATTCCCCAGATCACTTCCCCATTCTGTTTCTGCCGGAGACCTTCCAGTGCCAGTTCCTTGACACAGTCAGACCGGCAGCGGGTCTCTGCAAAGCAGGGACCACACAGGATGGGTGTGCGGCCTCTCTGTACTCTATACTAATCACAGCTTTCCAGATATTTACTGCGCTGCCGATAAAGGATGGTAGAACTGAAAGTAGTTAAGGCTCAGAGCCCAGGATGAAAGGCACCTCTCCAGGGTTGAGAGAGGAAGTAGAAACCATTCCAGAGATTTACATTAGTCCCCCACCTCCTGTGTGGCGAAGTTCACCCACCAGAGTGCCGTGCAAACCTCAGTGCGTGCGAAAACATTAGGTGAAGGCCCTGTGTGTGCTGGACTGGCTCTAGATGGAGATATTGTAAATGTGGGTCCTGTTGTCCAGTAAACAAGTAAACAAGAAAAACTATACCTAATCAAGGACACCTAGTGATTGATCTTTTTGCCTCCTTATGTGCTTTGAAAAAGTTGATTTCTTGCTACGGTTATGACCAGATGGTTGGTCAACCATGTTTGAATCTGTAACTAAAATAGAAACCTCACTGTATCTAAGTGGAAACTGTTTAACCTGCCAAGTTTCATACGTAATTGCAAAAGTATATAATAAAACAAAAAACATTCCTCTGTGTCAGAGGAGCCTTGCTCCCCTGCCCCACCAGAAGGACCTCTGGTGTCTGTTGTTTGTCTCCTCGCCCGTGCCATTCCCCGCTGCAGGAATCTCCTGGACCTGCTGCGGCTGGACCGCAGCATGTTTCCCCGTTCCATAGAAGTGCAGCTTCTCTTGCACCAAATGCCCCCCTAACCCACTACGAAAGTTGGTTTCTACTGGAGCTTTGGATTCCATCCCAGCTTTCTACTGTCTGGAGCCTGTGTTCCACATGCACTGTGTGATATTTAAAATCTGTCATAACTGCCCAGCCCTAGAAAACTTATTTAATTACTTAATAAGAACAACTTAAAAATACTGAATTCACATCTTTTTATGCATAAAAATATTTAACCATTGCCTTAGTCAGCGTTCCCATCACTGGGACATGCACAACTTGAAGGAGAAAAGGTTTAATTTGGCTCATGGTTTGGGGTGTTCTCTCCATGGTCAACTGGCTCCAAGGCAGAAGTGGTATAGTGGAACGGCCTGACTGAGAGAAACTGCTCACCTCATAGCATCCAGGAAGCAAAGGGAGGGAGGAGCTAGGGAGGAAGATACTGTGCACCCTTCAAAGGCACGGCCCCAGACTCCCAAGTATGCCCCACTTCCTCACAGAACATTGACTAATGAACTCATCAATGCATCAGTCTGCTGATGAGTGTGGTGTCCCCATGGCCCGGTCACATTCCAAAAGCCCCACCTCTGAGCACCTGAGGCTTTTTCAGGACATTCTAGACCTGTCATAACAATCATAGAATTAATAGTGTAGGGCTGGGGATTTAGCTCAGTGCACAGCGCCTGCCTGGCAAGCGCAAGGTCATGAGTTCGATTCCTGATACTGGAAGAAAAACAAAGCAAAACAAACAAACAAAAAATTAATAGTGTAATCAACACATATCACATTTGAGTAAGATGTCATAACACAAAATGTTTTCAGAAAGATGTATTTTAATGATGAAAGAGCATTAGTGAAGTTTCCTGTGCATATCTGTTGTAATATTAAACATGTACTGTCCAATACATATAGCTAAACTGATAAGAACACAATTTGTTTTACCATGAAAGACTGAATTCAAAGGCTCTTAAAAGGACAAAAAAAGAAAGTTTGTCTTGGAAAATGACACTTAGCAGTTAATGGCATCAAAGTCACATTGACTAGAGAAGGCAAACAACACATTTTTAAAGCCATCTTAACATAAACCTTACTGCAAATATACAATTGTTTTGAAGACAATACATTAAAAAAAGCAAAACTTCAAAGGCACACTGGCTTTCTTCTCTGGCATATTAAAGAACAAGTTTGGTTAATGTTTGTTAAATTATAAAATCTTATCTGACAAATTCCCCAGAAAGAACAGAGCATTTTGTTTTAAAAAAGTCATACATATAAAAAGGTATAAATCTGTTTTCAGAACAGCTAATATTGGCCCTTAGCAAAAGTTTACTTTAGGTTATTTCAACATATTAGCATGACAAAATTCCCTTTAAAAAGAATTTAAACCAATACTAGGCATAAAAAATAGCCATTTAGCTGAGGTTAATTTCCCGAAGCCAAACAAACAAAAAGCACTCCCCACACACAGCAATGGGACAACTGCCCTTCCTGTGCCTCTAACGCTTTTATTTTCCAAAGATCAGTTTACCATCTACTGGAATCCCAGCCCAGGAACCAGCCTGTGAATGTGGGTGGCTCGTGGCCTTGTTTTATGATGACAATTGGAGTTCTCTTATCTCTTCCAGAAGGATCTGTCTCAAGGTACATTTTGGCTAAAAAAAAAAGAGTTGCAAATACATAAATTCAGTTAGTTTTGGTTAAACTAAAATCACTATAGAATGAAAAGTTTTCTAAGAAAGCTAATGAATTAAATTTTCATTGCCCTCAAGTAGCCAAATATAAACAATTTCCTATTCATTTATCTCATCTGCCATAGAAAACATAAAGTCTCATTATTGTTTGAAAAAAATTTCAAGTTTTATGAAATTATTCTTATGGAATCATGATTGTTATACTTTTCAATAAAAAGAACAGACTACCTAAAAGAACAGTTTAAAGGAAGTTTAAAAATATCTAGGTCATCATTGTTATCAAGCTTTTACTATTTTCATAACAAAACAGGGTTTGAGTGAATTGAAACTTTTTAGAAATACTTGTACTCTAGGTTTTAAGAAGATGCTTCTTGTGCTCACTGTGACATTCTTCAGTTTTAAAAGTTTCCATTACTCTTTAGTTCTGAAGATGATAGGTAAGCTGCTTCTCGTGTTTGATGTGTATTTTGGGGTGACAGGGTGAAAAGAACAGGCCACAATCGTAGCTACCCACAGGACCTGCTTACCAGACTTCAGTGACTCTGTTCTCTCAACTTCGTTGGCATCTTTGCCAATCCAAATAAATATCTGAAAAGCGAAACGATAACAACATGTACCACTTTAGAAATGTTGTCTCAGTGCTAGGCCCCCTGCCAAGTTCTTTATATGCATGACTCATTTCATCTTCATGTCAGTCGCGGAAGTGAGGGGGTCAGCAGTGGAACCCACAGCAGGTCCTTCACTTTTTGAGTATTCGTTCCCACTGGAGACACTTAAATTTATATCCAGCCAATCTGACCACAGAGCTCACACTCACATTTTATGTTACATGGCATTTTCTGCTCTATGATGCAATGTTTCACAAAAACAACAGATTGGCTGTTTCGGTACATCTACCCATGCAGTGTGTAATGCAATCACAGTCCGCATTTCCTAGGTGCAGGTCTAGGCAGAGAGGACATCTAGACACCGCTTGCTGTGGAGATCTCTGCGCTCCCTTCAGGAATCTCTGTCTTAGGGCAAGTGCTTTTCTCCTGCAGTATTATACCCTATATAACTTTGACAAAGTGCTATAATGTTTAGCATTTAAATATCAAGGTTTTTAAACTAATTTAAAAATCCACACATATGTAATCTGTGCTCTATAAATGTGTATGTATACATACATAATCTGTATGTATCCTTTTTTTTGTCAAATCTGTTGGTTGTATTTTTCTTTTTAGTACTGGGGACTGAACCCAGAGCCCCTGCACTGAGCCATAACCCCAGTCCTTTTCTATTTTTGTTTTATTCTGAAGCAAGGTCTTGAGAATAAGACCTTGGTCTAAGCTGTTAAACTGCCCAGGCTGCACAAGAACTTGTGATCCTCCTGCCTCAGCCACCCAGAGTGCTGGGATCACTGGTGTTTGCCAACATTCCCGGCGCAGGTTGAATATTTTAATGCTGAAAAGTTCCCTTGAATTATTTTATATTTAAGTGACTTGAAGATCCCTCATTGGTTGAGGGATTCTGGTCATATTAAGTTTCTGTTGTATTGTAATTCATACTAGAAATGTTGCAATTCCTGTTTACAGGACACGCTACACCATGACTACATGATGTAAACAAAAAGGATGACTTCAAAGATATTAAATGCAGTATATAAAAGCCAGGATTGGAGCCCCAAAATTCAGATGTGATCACTGTAGACCAAAAGGCCAATGTGTAATTTAACTAAATGATTTAGCCATTGGAAACAGACCTAAAATCAACAGTCTGTGTACTGATTCTAAGCCCAGGTCTAATTCCATATTCTTGTTCTATATTATTTGATTCTTGACACATTTATTTTTCTCTTTTGTTGTTGTTAGTATACAGAGCTTTTTAAAAACTGTCCAGATGTGTCATGTCAAGTCTCCACTGATGTTCACCTACGTTAAGACATATGAAACAGTAACACAGTGAACTGTTTAGACCCAAACGTACTGTGTGCCTGCTTCTTCCACAGGAGCGGGGTCCTGATAACCTCTTGTTAAATATCAGAAGTTTACAATAATGTAGTCTCTCTCATAAAAGTGCAAAAAATGAATGTTTGAGTAAAGCAGGTGAAAATAAATGAAAAACGGAACTTTTTTGTCTAAAACTGTAGAGCCAAGAATACTAGCTGTGGAATTGTTTCTGCAGCAAGAAGTTCACTTGCCCTGGAAATGTTTCTTTTGGAACATTAAATCCTGAGGCCCGTTGATTACCAGACCTGTCATATCTCAGGGCAGGTCTTGTCAGTTTCCAGCCATGCACGCGCATTCTCTCGTCATACACACACTGTGGTTCCTACCTGTTCCCAAGCATCTAGTAGCATGACGTCATCCTCCGCTAAGTCATCCTGGGTGAACTCTCCCGGAACCTCCTCAATCTGAAATACATTAAAAGCTTCGTGACCAAACAGCACAGCAGATTTTTTCTAATGCACAGAATATAAATGCCTTGGATTATCGGAGGGTAGTGAAAAGCTTTGGTAGCCATTTCTTTCTTCCTTTCGAGTGGCAAGTGTTTAATCAAGTGTCACAAACTGATGATACTCGACATAAGCACCATATGTGAAGGCCGTTAGGAAGGATCTGTACAGTCGACACAATCCTCCTGCCAGAAGTTCCTCATGGCAAGTGGCTTCACAGAGCTCATCACTTGCCTAGTCTCTAAAGACATTTCAGTTTATGGTCTAGGTATTTCATTCTTTCATTGTGTAGGTCAAGATCATTTTACTACAAGTCAACAGATCTGGACATTTTAGTACAGCCACAATTTTCAATCAGGTGACATTACAATAATATTTCACATGCAAATTTTCAGTTTTATTTTTGATGGGTTAAACTATGTTCTCCATAATTAGCAGTAAATGGTAATGGGTTAGTTTAATCCACCCAGTATCAATGAGCATGTGTTAAAGTTCAGCATTCTAGGGAATTCTGCATGACTCTGCCCCTCTGATTCTTAGGAAGGTTCTCAGTTCTTCTCTCCCCGTCCCCTGCTCCCAGGTGACTGTAGTACAGTCAAACAAGTACAGCTGGCCATGGCCTTGGCCATACCATATAGTAATAATAACTAAGCAAGGGCCTTCTTGTGCTCCAGGGCTTTGTTATCTACGAACTGGCATAAGCCCAGCCTGCAGCTCATAGGAGAACCAGGCAGAGCCCAGGCTAGATCAACCTCATCCCAGGGAACCACTAGATTTCCAGGCATAATTCATGCTTGTTGTACCCTGACAAGATTCTGAGATCCTTATGCCAAAAAAAAAATTGAACATTCCCAAAGAGCAAGGAAATTGTTTACATCATCTTTTTACAAAATATTTACCAATCACTCAAGCAAGAAGATTGCTGCGAGTTCAAGGCCAGCCTGGGCTACAAAGTGAGCTCAAGGCCAGCCTGAACTGCATAGTAAGACCCTGTCTCAAAAAGACAAAAAAAAAAAAAATTTACCAATCATATCAAGGAAGAAATTAGATAGTTCCTAGAATCAAGCAATAATGCTAGTAAACACATCAATCTGGGGACACATGAAAGCAGTCCTAAAAGAGAAGTTTAATGCTGTGAACTCCCACATCAGAAAAACAGAGCAAGTCCAAATAAATAACCTAATGATGCATCTCAAGATCTTAGAAAAACAGGAACAACCCAAATCCAATACCAGTAAAAGGAGGAAATTATAAGGGTTAGAGCAAATATTAATGAAATTGAAACTAAAAAAAAAATTTAGAAAGAACCAATGAGTCAAAGAGCCACTTCTTCAAAAGAATAGATAAAACAGACAAAATCTTAGCTAATCTTACCCAAAAAAGGAAAGAAAAAACCCAAATCAATACAATTAGAAATGAAAAAAAAGGAGAATCACAATGGACCCCCCTGAAATCCAGATTGTTAGTCACTTCTTTGAAAACCTGAACTCCTAAAATTGGAAAATTCAGAAGAAACAGGTAGATTCTTATGAATTACCAAAACTGACCCAAGGTGATATTAAAAAAAAAAAAAAAAAACTTGAGTAAGCCAATAACAGTTAATGAATCTGAAGCAGTGATTTAAAAAAAAGTACCAACCAAGAAAAGTCCAGGACCCAATGGATTCACACTTGATTATTCAAGAACTTCAGGGAAGATGTAACATTAATACTCTTTAAGCTTTTTCATGAAATTAAAAGGGAAAATGTATTCCCAAAGTCATTCCTAGAAGCTAGCATTACCCTGATTCTAAAACCAGACAAGAACCCAACCAAAAGAGAAAACCACAGGCCAATCTGTTTAATAAACACAGATGCAAAAGTCCTCAACAGGGTACTGGCAAGCAGAAAGTAAAAAATCATTAAAAAGATTACACATTATGATTAAGTGGGCTTCATCCCAAGAATGCAGGGATGGTTCAACACATGCATATCAACAAATGTAATACATAACATAAGAAGAAGTAAGGACAAAAACCACATGATCTTCTCAACAGATGCAGAAAAAGCTGTTCATAAAATCCAACATCCATTCATCACTGAAAACCCTGAAGAAAACAGATATAGAAAGACTTTATCTCAATCTGGTAAAAGATATTTATGACAATCCTACTGCCAGTATCCTATTAAATAGAGGAAAACCTCTAAAATCAGGAAGAAGACCAGACATCTAGTATTACCACTCCTCTTCAATACAGTACTTGAAACATCAGCTAGAGCATCCAGGTGAGAGAAAGAAATAAAAGGGATATGCACAGGAAATGAAGATGTCAGATTATCTTTATTTGCAGATGACATGATCCTCTGTACTGAAGACCCAAAAAATTCTACCACTTATCCCTACAGTTAATAATCAAATTAATTAATGTTGTAGGATACAAAACCAACACACAAAGATCCATAGCATTTCTATACACCAATAGTGAACTCACTTGAGAAAGCAATTAGGAAAATAACACCATTCACAATAGCAAAAAAAATTAAATATGTAAGAATTAACCAAGCCAAGCAAGTGAAAGACCTACAATGAAAGCTGCAGTACTCCGAAAAAGGAGATTGAAGCCATCAGAAAGTGGAAAGGCATCCACTGTTCCTGAATAGGCAGAACCAACACTGTCAGAATGGCCATACTTTCTAAACTGACATACAGATTTAATGCAATCCCAATTAAACCAATAGCTCACAGACAAGAAAATAATCCTAAAATTCACATGGAACCAGAAGAAGATCAAGAGATATAGGAGCAGAAAGAAAGGGGTAGGGAAGAGGATAAGAAAAAGAATTAACGTGTGTCAGCTCCACACAAGGAAGGTAATGATAATGTGCTGCAAACATATACTCATAAAAATTGAAAAACAATGACTTACCCTAAAAAATATTTACCAATCACATAATGGTTTTAAAAATCAAAAACCTTAAATACAACTTACTTTGCATCAAGTACTATTCTAGTCTTTCTATGCAATAACTAATTAAATATTCACAACAACCATATGAAGTAGTGACTATGTGTCTTGGTTACTTTTCTCTCGTTGCTGAGACAAAATCCCCAACTCCCAAAATGAAGGAAGGAAAGGTTTATTTAGCTCACAGTTTGTGGAGGTTTCAGTCCATACTTGGCTGGCTCCGAGGCAGAAGATAACAAAGCAACAAGAGCAAAGGGGGAATGGCAGCCGAACAGCAATGCAGCCGGAGCAAAAGGGAGGAATCATGGCAAGCAGCTTCTTTTCCTCCTTTACATTGTAAACAGGCTACCCCCACCTAAGGGGTGTGTAGCTCTCACATAATCTCAATGCCCTCCTCTTCCACAGGCTCAGGATGTATACAAAGTAAGCACCCTGGCTTCCTGCTGAGTCACTTAGCCAAACCTCCATACTCCCCAAACTGACACAATGTATCAACCATAACACTATGATTTTCCTTGTTTTACAGATCAGAAGACTACAGCACAAAGACCATAAGGATCCAGGCAAAGGTCACAGAGCCGATAAGTAATATCACCAGGTGAGTGGTATCTCATAGGTAGACTGGTTCTAAAAGCCGTGCTTTTGAACAGTAGCTCTGCTACCTTGTATGATGCTATCTGTCTGAAGCCTACTTTCTGATGGTGATCATAAAAGCAAACTCTTGTCACTAACAGCCCTTTTCCTTAAGCTGTGAAGGAGGATGAAATGATTCCAAATACTGAGCAATGGGTAGGTACAAAGGAAATGTGTATTTCCTGTAAAAGCTAACATGTCCGTGACAAAACACACACACACACACACACACACACACACATATAAATTGACTCACAGATTTTTTAAAACCTGAGAACAGAGCCTAGAAGCTTCTTTTTGAAAATATATCTTCCTTGAAAACAAACATGAATGTATAGCAATATGAGCAGATAGTACTGATAAAAAATTTTAGACACATATGCCAAAAATGAAGTTGTTTAGATCCAATATATAGTCAAAATGCAATAATAGTCAAAATGATAAAATAGTAGATTTTTCTTACAGCAACTTTATAAAATGTAGTAAGTACAGGGATTTCCTACAAAGTAGGCAACAAACCATGGTACTCAACAATAGAGTATCACTATCCACTGGTCAGTCTTTAATTTTCACACCAAACTAGTTGTAAGCGTCAAGTGTGACTTGTACAAGGAAAGTTTCTTCTTCAAAGTTTTTTTTTTGTTTGTTTGTTTCTAGCATTAAATGTGCCAGGCAAGTATTTACATAATATTTTTCATTCTATCAACATGGAGAAAGTTTTTATTCCCCTGGGAAAGTGAACTGTAAAACTTACAGTTAGATGAGAAGCGACTGCTGCTTAACTGAAAGTATCTAATTATTAAACTAGCAAATCCAATCACTTATAATGCATACCGCAGCTGCCGAATGCTGACACTGATGTACAGTAACTACTGTGAGCTCTCCTTATATACTACTTTTCAATCTTCTTAATGCTTTCACATCCACTGCGCCATTGACCCTTAGACTATGCAATAGGGAGCAAAGATTCTATCACTGTGGTTTGCAGGGGTCAGTTGAACCTAATGATCCCAGCTGCCCGTGGCTGCAGAGGGTCAGAGCCAACAGGAAGTGCCTCTCTCTTGCCAGGCGCTATCCCATAGATTCTTTTTTCAATTTTGGTTTTCATTAGCACATGTTCCCAGTACCAATGACTACATTCATCGCAGGGAACTGTACATGAGCAGAACACATCTTGATTCTTTCTTCAGCTGCTTTTGTTCTCCTGTCACCCCCCTCACTCTACCTCTCGGTCCCCTTCCCTTTTGCACAGCTTCTTAAGACACTCACAATAAACCTTCCGGTTTTGTTGGAGCAGCCATAAAGCCGGGGTGGATGGTCTTCGGCCTGCGTTTCCAGCAGTGGTGAAGTCTGGTAGTCTTTTTGCCCGCCGAGGGAGGTCCAGAACTCCTCTGCGGAAAGCACGGAGTTATTCAGTGCATATTCAGGAGCATACCGTTGGTACTGTTTTAGAGTGACAATATTACCTTGCCTTAGCTTTAATGATAAGAAGTTACTTAAATGTCGTAGGTACCATCACTCACTCTTGCAACCAATGCAGGGATTCTTAACCCTCTTTAACCATCCAGAAATGACCTTTTATGAGGAAAGGCGGGCAGCAAGCACAGCCCTGGCAACTCTGACCCCCCAGCACACACCTGGCTCCTCGCCTTCCTCGATCCTTGCAGTGCTGCACCCAAGGACGTTCGCCACGTACTCCGCCCCCTTCTCCTCCTCCTGGCTGGCGCCCTTTCCTACCCACATGTAGCCACTGCTGTGGGGCAGTTTCAGGACAAAAGCATCATTGGAATTCAGTGAATTTGCATCAACATCAACCTAGAGCATGAAGAAAAATAATACAATGATTGAAATTCCCTGCTGTTCCTTCTTCAGTAACTATTTCCCAGACGCTGTGACTGTAACAAATACACATAGCCTCCGCCCTGCCCCAGGAAATTAAGCCAGGGCTGCACTGAGACGGTGCTATGGCACGGGACATGATGGAGGAGGAGCATCTTGGCCACTGTCCCTTGACCGCCCAGCCCCCCCTCAGACAGCAGCACACGTCAGTGATGAGAAGGAAGGGCTGCTGGCATTCTCAAGACATGGCGCAGGGGTTGGTGACACTCGGGGGAGTGGTGCTAAGTCCTCTCCCAACAAGAATAAAGCCTCCTGGACCACACTCACAGCAACCTGTGAGTTGTGGTACTGGAGAATTACAGAAACCGGATCTGGCTTCAGCACTTCTGATTTCTGACGTATGTGTCCCCTCACTGGCACAGAGGGAAGAGCCAGTATGAGGACGAGAAGACCATGAGACCAGTGCCAGACTGGTGTGGACCAGGGAGGGAGAGCTAAAGCCTCATAAACAGAGAGCGAAATAAAAGATAGATAACAGGAGGCAGAGGAATCCTTTTCCACTGGGAATGGCACCAAGGGATGAGGGCACGAGAAAACATGGAGACAGAGCTTCTGCAAATGGAAAGATGGACACAACAAGGAAGAAGGGAGGATGGACACAGAATAAGATGGCTACGTCCATGCACCAACTCCCCGTGATAAATGTGATCGTTCTGTACTGCAGCCATGGACTCACACAAATTTTCTAAAAAAAATTTTAAAAAAGAAAGCATTAGCCTGCCAGGTGGGGAAGACGGAAAGCTACAAAGTGATCTTGGCTAGTGCGCTTTGCAGAGGATGGAAATCTGAAAGGAGGCCTCAGGGGCTGCTAGGAAATAAGGCGACTTTGCATGTGACTGATAGTGTCTGCTGAAGAACAGCAGCTGGGGAAGACACCAGGGGAGTCACAGTGCAATGTCCTGTGGCATCTGTCACTGAAATCATCTGTGAGGGTCCACAGATGAGAGTTTTACTTTTAATTTCATAGGTTTTTTAAAAATCATCGTAACTGAGCAAATGGGAATCTGATCTTCTCTTAAGGATGAAATGGGGAGATGCACCAGCACTTGAACCACGAACTGAAGGAGATCGCTGCGAAGGGGACCAAGACTGAGGCTCGGGCGGCTCAGCTGCTTCAAGGCCAGGCAGAGGGAAACCAGCAACACAGCCTCCAGCAGGCGGGTGGCAAGTGTGGAAGAAATCACGGGGAGTGTGCGCTGTAAACACCGGGGGAGAAGGCGTTCAGCAGTGAAGGTGGACTGCAGCGGATGCCAGCAGGAAGCGAAGAAAAGCGAGATCAGAGACAGGGCGCTGGCACGCCGGATAAACCCAGACCAGGAGCAGGCAGCTCTGCAGAGAGCAGGTATAAGACGGTGAGTCGGGGAGTGAGTGAGGACAGCACTCTCAAGGATCCCTGATCTTAAGAAGGATAGGAAAACGATGACTTTGCACAGACATCTGCATATTTCAAAGAAAACGACTGCAGATACAAGAATAAATGCGTGGTAGAGAAAAGAAAGCGGATTACTGCTTGCAGTCCGAATGAATGCATGGGGAGCAATCTAGGAAAGTACCTGGGAAAACAGGAAAGGAGGGAATCCTGGACAGAGGCTGGTAGGTGGAGGAATCTGGCCTTAGACAAGAACCACAGTTTTTATTCTATGTACTAATCATTTACTCAAGTATTTACTGACATGTCACTTTATCAAAATATATTATTTATTGCTAATTTATAATGTTCTGATATTAATTAATAAAATACTTGACTACACGTAAATTGCTAAATATTAGTTTGTAATTTTTTAAAAATATAAATAAAATTTTACAGTTCATTAAATAGGAGGGGAAGAAGACGCAGACCAGTCAGTGGAGTTGCAGGGGAGGAGATTCAGGTATCAGGCGTGATCACGTGTGTCTTCACTGCAAACGCTAGATCAGAATTTCCCACATGGAGGAGGGAGCTAAAGATCTGAGGACAGAGATGCGCGTGAAGGGTGCGAAGGAGGAAGTGGGCTCACAGATGGGGCCGTGGGCCTGGAGAACTGCTGGGGTGTGTACCTTAGAGTGCAGGAACCAAGGAATAGGAGATGGTTGTCAGCGACCAAAGGACTGAACAGATTTCTGAGGAGCCACAGTTATTCCTCATCAATGGCAGGATTTATCAGAGGACCACGGGAGTGCGCCATGAAACAGGATCAAAGAAAATATTATTGGGAGAGAGAGGCCAGAGAGCAGGCGATAGTGAGACAATAGCGGAAACCACCCAAACAGAAAAGAGCAAGGACCGGCGGCTCTGTACCCGACAGCACCAGAGGGTTGGGAAGGCAGGGAGAGTCAAATAAAAAGGACAGAAGCCAAAGAAGCCAGGGTGAACAAGGCCAGTGCCCTGTCCACCCCACCCAGGGCCCTGGGAAGTGGGCACTGGGGGAAACACACCTTCCAGGGGCGAGGGCTGCCAGGAAGCCGCGTCCTCAGAGGGCAGACACAGTGAGAAGAGAGGCGGGAGGGAAGCTTGGAGAAGACGGACAGAAGAAACAGGCCGACCGGGTCCTGAGGGGCTGCTGAATGGCATGTGTGGAGGGCAAGGGCTGGGCCACAGCTCCAGGTCTGCGGATGGGCAGGGCAGACCGGGGGTGACCCGGGAGATCTGGGTTTCCACGGTGACGCAGGTGACAAGATATTAGACGTGGCTGGGTTGGTTCAGTGCAGCCACGTCCTCTTCCCACATCTGTCGCACTTGTGCATACAGGGACCTCCCCTCTCCGGCTCCCCGGGTGCTCAGTCACCTGCACATGGCCTCTACCCTGGGCTTCTCAAGACAGAGCTTGGACTGCCTTGGGCCTGATCTGAGACAGTGATTTGGTATAGGAGCCTTAAAATTCATTGGTTTGGGTTCAGAGAAGTTGAAAAATGTAACGCCGGCATTTGCTGGTGGCTGAACTCCACCGGGACATGCGTTAACGAGGGCGTGCTTTACTGGACGGGTGACAGTGACGCTACCTCCACAATTCTGGTGATGGACGCCAGGTTTCTCCGAATTTGAAAGAGGCGCACAGGCGGGGCCGGGGCCTGCCCTCCTTTCTTGGATGTCCCATTCTTGTAAACAATGAGTGGCTTGTCTTTGAACAAACTCAGCAGGTGCGCAGGCTCTTTGCCTTGGGAGACTCGGACCTGGGTGGAGTAGGCAGGGGAATAAAAGAAAGATCATAAAGAGTGTAAGGAAAGAAGGCTGCATTTCTAAATCTGTTCATAACTTTCTTTTTTGAAAACAAAATATACCAAAAAACAGGAGCAGGAAGGATGACAACTCGTAAAAAATGTAAGTTAGTGATAATCAACCACGTTCACCTAGAACCCTTCTGTCGCTTCAGACACAGTGTCCCGGCAATGCTTTCTGCTTTCAGACAACATGAAGGTGTGAGTTATTCAGCTGCATCTCCAAGGGAAAAAGACCAAGAAAAAAGCTAACATCTGCAACCTTTTACAAAAAGTACTCGCCTTTCAAGAACACTGATATTTTCCAGGTATTTACGGATGTGCTAGATTCTCATGTGTTTTGGGGCTGGCTCAGAAGGTTAAAAGATGTGTGGTCAAATGCTTCAAAAATAAAGTGACACAAATTACACCCCTTATCGCTCTATGTCCACGTGTGAAACGAAACATTAAAAACTGACAAAAATAAACTGAGTAAACACTTTTAACCTTTCAACTGACTTATAAAATGGTAATCGCTAAGCAAAAGATTTGTTTAATAAAAGCAACCTATTTTTATATGATGTAAGAACTTTTCAAGGATGAGGAAACTGAAGAAAATAACTGGCAAGTTACTTGCTTGATTTCGCCTACTAACACCCAATATTGAATTAGATTTTCCTATTTCTTTTTTAACATAAGGAGTTCCAATACTAGGCCTGTCCCCTACTTTTTGTAGTTGCTCTACCCGGTGCTAAAATGAAACATCTCACCTATCCTGGCCTGGCCAGTTCCCCAGGCCGGGTTTTGGGACTCCGGATACACGCACCGTCCTAAGGAGGCCTGGGGAGTGAAATAACTGACCGCATAAATATGTTTCAACCAGCAGGCATTCAAGTAAGTGAGAGACTAGTTACGAAAATACTTCCTCAAAGTCACAGAGCCGTGGACAAAGGTAGTAAGGAATATTAAGAAAGACTGCTTGCGTAGCATTTCACATAACCTTGAGGAAACTTCAATTGACAACATAAGGGAGAGGGGCCACTGATTAAGGCTCACTTTCTTGTGAGGAACAGTAAGATAGCAACAAGGCCAATTAAAATGTTTTCAACACTATTGATATGAAACAGCAACATCCTTTAGTTTTTTTAGTGCAGCATATAAAATACTGCCATCTAGTGACTAACCTAAAAATTACCATTTCACTGTTAATTCAGGATGCAACAATTCACTGAAATTAACGGAGTTAATACATTTAATTTCAGTTAATTTCAACTCACTGAAATTAAATATATGTTGCATATTCTCCTATGAATTATGCAATATGCAAGACACAATGAGTATCTTCCAATTTTTTAATAATTTAATAAACCAACTAAATGGCAAAGACGATGTCAATTCTCAGCCAGAAGTATTCTATTAAAGAAATTAATGTAATAGTTCATCAAGAAAGAGCTGAGAGCATGTAAATAATTCAGTCTTTTTAATTTGTTAATTAATTAGCTAGCTAGCTTATTAAAAACAGTTCAATGTATTTTTACATTTAGATCTAACTTGATAATATATGTAATCACCAGCATGGAAAGAAATCGGATGAAAGACCAAATTCAGCCTCCACATCTTATAGTTTATGTTCTGAACTACCTGACTTACCTTTCTATTTAATTATTACACTTAAAGAAGCAATTATACATTCATATAAATTTGAAAACAAGACAAGACCAAAACCTCACATACCACATTGAATCTTAGCTCGCTGTACACAAGGCATAAGGAAGTTAACTGCACACAGTCCTGCGGAGGGGATGGAAGCCTCACACAGCTGTCCCAGAAATGCCTCCTTGCTGGCCACTGGAGCAGCACTGCTCTCAGTTCAAAGCCCAGGACAGAAGGCACATTTCCCAGCAGATGTGAACAGATGCCTTCCCAAAAACTGGCCAGAGGAAACGTGCGTGCAGACAGGAAATGCCCAAGCAACGCTGTGAGCAACTCAAGCTAGAGAAAGGGAAAGAAAGAGAAAGAACGGAGACAGAGATCTCAAAGTAGCTGTAGGGACAAGGAACAAGAAGTGCCACTCCTGGGCTCCTGAGAGGAGACAGACACGCTGTAGTGCACTCGAGGTAAACAGGGTCTCTTTGAAGCATGCGTTTCATTTATTGGATAAGGAAAGTAAGTAAGCAAAGACCAACAAAGTCCTGTGTTTACTAATAAGGATCCTGAAACAGAGATTTCCACCACAAACATAAGAAGAGGGCCATCTGAACTTAGGAAGAGATGAAATATTGAGCCAGACTGTAAAAACCCTCATAAGTAAGGCAATCTAGGACCTGGCACTGGTATCCTCTGACACTGCAGGACAGTCAGAGGACTTTCACAGTTAGTCAGGACACTATCTCTTTCTACTGTCTTTTGTATACAACACTCTCTTTATGTATGCTCACAGGTGTATATGCTGTGTACATGTGCATACGTACATGCATGCACAGAGAACTGGACTCATTTATGTTTACTTATATTTATATTTAATTGCTCTTTTGAATTTGGGTTCAGTCATTCTCAACAAGTTATTTTTTAACAGAAATACCCAGAGGAAGAATCTATTCTTCTCCTCCCTCACTCCAACCTTCCCCTTCTCCTTCCCCCTCTCTTTTCCCTTCTCCTTTTCTTTCCCAGTCTCCCCTTTTTCTCTCTCTTGTCTCTCTTATCTCCCCTCCCTTCTCATTTTTTTTCCTTTTCCCTTCTCCCATTTCAGTCCTATTCCTCCTCTTCTCTCCCACCACCCTCTCACTTTTAAGTGTTGGACTTTGTTTCAGCCAAGATTCTTGTACACAAAAAGGAAAAATAAGAATCCATGCTCCCTTTCAAGGTTAATTTCACTCTACCTGTGGAAAACATAACTTACATATTTTTATAATTTAAGAGTGTTTGTCAGGCATGGTGACACATGCCTGTAATACCAGCACTCACGAGGCTGAGGCTGGAGGATCACTGGAGGATCAGTTCAAAGCTAGCATGAACTGCAGAGTGAGACCCTGTCTCAAAAAAAAACAAAACACAGAAAAGATTATCAACTATTATTCTACTATTTATCTATTAACTAGAATTATTCATCTGTGCTTGTTCTACACTGTTGTATTGATTTTTTGTTGCTACTGTAAAAAATTATCATGTACAAACATTATCTTACAGTTCTGGGGGTCAGAAGTCCAAAATGAGTTATAGGCTAACTTAGTCCCTGGGCTAAAATGTGGGATAAGAATTTTGTCAAGCTACAGTCAGGCTATCATAGAGTTAAACTCCTCTCTTGAGTAGGGATGAATTTTATCCTTACCTTTTCTAATTTCTAGAGGTTTCCTGCATTCCTTTGCTGAGATCCCTTCCCTGGTCAAAGCTGGCAGCTGCCAGGTGTGTCTTCCCCACACTGAATCCCTCTAACTCTGCCAGCCTTTGTGCTTCACTCCTAAAGACCCCAGGGATTACACCGCACCCCTAGTAATCCAGATCATCTCCCTACTTCGAGGTGTGCTGATGGGCAACCATAATTCCATCCCCAACTTTAACTCCCCTCTGCTTTGTAACACAACATATTCTCAAATCTCCGGACAGGACATGCCCACTTTGGGACACTGCTCTGTCTACAACCCTTTAACAATAGCAGGAAGTGATAACACAGGTAGAACTAAGGTCGAATGTCAAATGACTGTCCTTGACATATGGTGTGATTCTAAAGGGAAGACTTTTTTGGGCTCCTAAATCAATTCCTGGTTATTTTTTGCTTTTGTTTGCTTCTTGCTTTCCAGGATTGAGAGAACTAGTACAATTTAAGACCCGGAATATTTGAATTTTAAGATAAGAAGAAGTTAATATAAAGAAAATGTCAAATTCTCATCCCAACACTGGAGGGAAGCTCTCGCTAGTAACTAGGCCAGCAGGGCTTGTATTTGCGTGAGTGTAGGGGTTAAAAGCATCACCACCTGCACAGCCTGCCCTCCGAGGGACCGGTCCAACTGAACAGTCAGGAACGCAGATGTGGTCAGCTCATCTCGTGTAGCATTTGCTCCTTGCCTGGAGGAATGAAAGTAAAATACGTTAGCTTGTATTTAAGTTTTAAAACCTTCTCATGCAGGCATTTCAAGACTGAAGTTATTATGAAAGATTAAGAAGAACCAACGATTTTAATATGATGCAATGATCTATCAAAAACTATAGTTGGTTTCAAAACACTGACAGTGAGCCCTGAACTGTCCTGTGTGTTTTCCAGAACTGGACGTGCCACACATTTTTATCTCCATTTTAACAAAGCTAGGCCTTAGCCATTTACATAATTTAGCCAAGTAACCATGGATTTGACTTCACTATTTTCCCCATAGTGAAAATAATCTATCTGAGGACAAGAACATGAGGCAAACTTGCGAGCCATTTTATCTTTCTATGAGTAATGAGCATAGAACCAAATGTCTGTAATCCACAAAAATCAAGAAAATGAGTACCAGAACTAAGCACCAGAGAAGCGCCCTTTTGCCTTCCTGACAATTCTTTAGAGACCTATTAATGAGGGCTAAACTGTCAAGAGCCAGAAAGGGATCAATAAATCAATCTGTCCAGTCCATTTGCAGCTCCTCGTTACAGGGTGGCTTGGGGTTGCATCACCTGAAACCTTTGGGAGAACTGCCTACTTGATGAGTCTGTGAAGGAAAGAAAAACAAAAATAAAACCAACCCCCCCTTCAATAACCTAAGCATTTACTGGGCACCTGTCCTCTCTGATTAGAAGTTAGTAGCAAGAATGTTAAACTCTGTGCTAAAAATCATGACATCCTACAGTCACTCTTTGCTTCTGATTTTGAACCCTATGTTCAGAAAAAACAGTCCACTTTGACATGATTTCTTCTTTATAGACCTGTGGTGCTTGTTGTTCATTCAAAATAAATGCTGGGATACAATGGAATGTACCGCTTGTAGAATTTATCATTGGAATTTTTCAGTGTTTGTTCAATTTCGATGACCTAATGTTTCAGAGAAAGGGTCACTGAGGAAATTATTTTTCTGCTATCATCTCAAAACTAAAAAAGACATATTTGTGAATTCAGAACTTGATTTAATTCTAAATTTTCATCTTTAGCCCTATTTCCTGGACTTCATGTGCTTCATCCCTATATAAAAATTAGCACATAAGCTGGAAAGTTGTTTAAATTGAAGGGCAGTCTTCAAGAGAACTACTTCTTTTCTAAATGCCTCTTCATTACCTTTATGGAAGTTCTCGAAATTTCACAAACCATTCAACATTAATAAGTGTGACATTTATATTTGATATTTGTGATTCTAAAGGGCAAAGACCTAAGACTCTCAAGTATCTTCCAATTCTCAACACTTCAAATTGGAAAGAAAACTAAAGGACGCCCCTGCCAGTGCCCTGCAAAGACGGTCACTATGACTAGTATGGCGCATGCTCGTTGTCTTCGTTTCTCTTTGCAGTGTGGACCAAACTCATCCTCCTCCTGGGCTCCTTTCATGTACTCTACTTACGAGTATTCAAACAAAGAACCTGGGCTCACCCTTAGCTTTGTCATTTTCTCTACTCCCCACAACCAGTCTCTCTGATGCAAAGTCCTTAACATTGTGCAAGTCTGCCTCACTCTTTCCCTCCCTGCTGTCATTGCTGTACTGTGAATTCAGGTCCTCGCATCATTCAGCTGGATTCCTGCAACCAATTCCGACAACTTCCTGCTTCTAGTCTTGCCAACCAATCCACTGCTGCCGTGTCAAAAACAGCCTCTCTAAAAAGGAAACCGGTGATGTCACTCCCCTGTTCAAATTCTTAGTGGCTCCCAATGCCTGGAAAATAAACTTCATCCATCACAGCATGACTTGGTAAGCCATTCACGATCTGGCACCACCTAATCTCTCTGGTTTCACTTTTTGCTCCAAACATATTTTTTGCTAGTAGAGTAGAGCACACCTCTACGGCGCTGCTTGGATCAGTTCCCTCTCTGTTGGTCTGAGTACAGTAGCTCCTCTTCCACGGTGACTCATAGGCCACTTCTAGGAGCCCTTCACCGATAGCCTTGGAGGGCGATAGGGCATCTCTAACTCTCCAGAGATTACTCTACTTGCTCTTGGCCACGCCCTTGAAATACTCTCTTGACACGTTTGCTTAGTCCTCTTTTGCTTGATCTAAGTGCTACTAGCAACTAGATTTTTACACTCAAAACAGAACTAAGAGAAAGAACATGAAATAAAATGAATGAAAAGTTGAACAGGAACAAATTAATTTATCCCTGTAAATGCTGTGTTCTTCACAAACACTTTTCTAGTTAAAATTTTGTAAACTATAACTGAGGGAAGAGACCTACAGATCCAGGTCTGACGTGTTGCTTCACCAGATACAACAGTTGTGATTTTGGATTTAGTTACTTATCCTCTGAACCTCCTCACTATTTTTTTTTTTTATGTAGGAGAAATAATATATCAAATAACCAGCACTTTTCTAGCACAAACATGCTGCTCAGAAAATAAATAGTTCCTAGACATCTTGACCATAGAATGAAACAACCAAATGCATTCATCTTGGACAGAATACGGGGTGTGGGTGGGGTCAGAAATGTCTCTAGGTATGGGCTCTCATTTATAGGAGTATACATCAGAACCTCAGGAATCCCATCTCCAGAGTCTGATGTACTTAGCATGGGGTGAAGGCGTGTAGGCTGTGAAAACTTCCAGGCTCTTCCCATCATGTCTGAAAGCAATGCCTTGGGAAGTGCCTCTTAATCACTGTAATATCTACGAGTCCTGGAATGATTTTGGTATGCTGTACCGTCTTCCTTAGTGAGTCAAAGGTAGGCCTTGAAAGCCTACATTTTTCACAGGCTCCACCAATGCTTCAGGGTGCCAGACCACCCTTGGGTATTACTGTATACCATATATCTCCTGCACTTAGCTAACTTGAGGTACTGGGCAGCATGAACAGTATGGCTGGGGACAGATGCGACTGTCATCTGGTGTGAGACTCACTGGAGAGAAATGTCACCATATCTATCAACAGAGTCCTGCTGTGTCTATTCCATGTTGCTACTGTCTCATAGGCAAAGGTTGGAATCTTGTATTTTCCACCCACACTTCTTGGGTTTAAGATCTTTTTTGAGTATTATTTCCTGTTTTCTAATCTTCTCAGCAATATTCTATTTCACCTGATTTCACTTAATACAAAGTTAGAGAATTTCACATTATTATATGATTTGTTTCACAGTCCCTGTGTCTGAAATAGCCCAGCGGCGGTGATGGGTAGCATGTCAATTACTGGGTTGAACATCTGGTCCTTCATCCTTGAGCAGGGCCTCTCACCACGTAAGCCTAGCCTTCAACTAACTACAATCATGGAAAACCTTGGAGCTAGAGACACACTGGCATATTTTCTCCATCACTGCTATGAACTTCATGGGGACAAAGACTAAAGACACATTCATTTGAGGTCTCTGGAGTCTGCCTCAATGAAATCACAAATTATATCCCCTACAGGGTTTGCCCTATGACTTCATAGCTTCTGTCTGGGTGGCCTTTGTGAATGTCAGCAATAAGCCAGGCAATACCCAATGCTGGCCACTAGAATGTTCACCTGCATATGAAATGAAATATCGAACCACATATCCAGTAAGAGAATACTGCCATTCAGGACATGAAAGCCTGCTATGGCGTGGCTTGTGTCTTGATGTCCTCACAAAGCCTCATGCAGTCATAGGTGAGGCCTTTTCAGAGGTGGCTGGATCTAGAGTGTGTGACGGTGGTGCAATGCTAGCTTCAAGGGCACTAGGACTAAGGTGTGAGTACTACCCGCCCTAAGGAGCCTGGATAAAATACAAGGGTTAGAAAAGCTGTGGTTTCCCCTTGTTGCTTTTGCTGTATTCTGTTTGCCATGAACTGTTTTCTGAGATGCCTTTCTGCCAAGCACTGGACGGGCTGATTGTGGACTAAAACCCCTACAAACTTGTGAGTCAAAAAACCTTTCCCCCTTTAACTCGGGGTGTCAGGTATTATGTCAGCAGCAAGAGAAAAGTAACTAACACAAAACCTTTTTCCTAGAACAGAGAGGATTATTTTTATCTAACTACTCTTATCTATGCATAGCAGCTATGAAGCAATCGAAATCATGTTTAAAAGAAAACACTATATACATGCCATACAAATCTCACTGGGCAACTACAGGATTATCCCACCCCATACTGCAGAGAACTTAATATTCAACCTTAATCTGGCCCCTGCAGAAACTGAGCTCCCGTGGAAGAGGCAGACTTACCATGTGTAGATAATCATTCCTCTGGGATAAGTGTAGAGGATAATGTAGCAGTCACCACCGTAGAACTCGCCATAGGAGCTCGGATCAATCTCAATTCTACCATTGCTCTCTACACGCCAAATCTAAAGGAAACAAAACAGATATACAATATCGAACATTTTTAATCTAATTTTTCTCATAGGCTTTAAATAATTCTTATTTTTCAACTATTATTAAACAACTTTTAAATTATTTTCTAACCAGTTTACAGGGGCTGGGGATTTAGCTCAGCGGCAAAGCGCCTGCCTGGCAAACGCAAGGTCGTGAGTTCGGTTCCCGGTACCGGGAAAAAAAAAACCAAAAAATCTAACCAGTTTACAAAGCAAACAAAGACCAGGTATGATGGTACACACCTGTAATCCCAGCACTCTGGGAGGCTGAGGTAGGAGGATCACACGTAAAAACCCACCCTAAAGAATTTAGAAACTTAGCAAGACTCTGTCTCAAAATAAAAGATAAAAAATTTAAAAGAGGCTGGGGAAGTAGCTTAGTTCTGGGTTTAATCCCCAATACTTTAAAAAAAATCAAACAAGGGGAAGAAAGTTGATCAAACTGGCAATTTGTTGGTTTTTCATTACTTTCATTTCTTTTGCTTCCTCAACAATATTTAACACAGTTCTGACCCTATTAATTAATAAATCTATTACTTAATCAATTAGTGAAAATAACATGACACTCTAGCACAATAACAAACTACATTAGTCATCTCAGAAATATATCTATCTACCTTTTACCTTTGCAATGAAAATGTTTTGATTATGAAAGAACTTTCTTCTTCCTTTGGTTTATTATTTTCTGATGCAAGAGCTGGTAGACCATGACCAAGTGATAATCTTGCTTCAGTGGACTGAGTATCTGTTCCCCCTACATGACTCATTCTGAAAACTAAATCCCAATGTGCCCAGGTGGTAGGACCTTGGAGAAGCAGTCAGATTATGCAGGTGGGTCTGTTGGGAATTCGAGGGGTGAAGGAAAGATGTGGTGAAGGTTACACTTAAATTTCATTATAGTAAAAGATGTATTCTCAAGAATATGAGAGCAAGGGGAGCATTTTGAAGGAGATTTAATGGCCATGTGTCTTTTACTGTATCAAATTTTTAAATTTAAATGTGCACTGTCAGTGATACCTTGGCTTATGAACTTAATTTGTTTTACAGTTTGGGGAAGATGGCTGTGTTTGTCTTTGCGTGGAGAAGATGGCCGTGGTCGCGTTTGTCACCCAATGCAGAGTTTGTGAATGGAAGCAAAATTTTGCTGAACACTTTTGTTTGCAAACCAAAACGTGTGCAAAGAAAAGTGTTCGAGAGCCGAGGTATGACCATACTTTATGATTCTCCCACACTGAGGCAGCCATCCACGGCAGTTTCTGTCAAATAAAAACGTGATATGTCTTCATCCACTTTATTCAGCAGATTCGGCATTGTGTGGCTTCTGGCTCTTCCCCAAAGTCAAAATGACCATGAAAAGTAAATGTTTTGAATCCACTGAGGACATGGAAGTAGCCACAATGGCATAACTAAAGATCCTCACAAAAGGACGTCCAGAACTGTTCTAAAAAGTGGCGAGAGCAATGAGGTAAGTGTGTTTGACCAGAGGGCAAGTGTTTTGAGGGTGGTTCCTGGCAATGTGTCTTTTACTCTGATGAAGTTTTTTTTTTTTTTTTTTGGTTTTTCTTCGGTACCGGGAACCGAACTCACGACCTTGCGCATGCCAGGCAGGCGCTTTTGCTGCTGAGCTAAATCCCCAGCCCCTCTGATGAAGTTTTTAAAAAGCTTTCACTGTATGTTCAATCACAAGGCACAGAATCAATACCTTTGTAAAAGGGACCCCAGAGAGTCTTCCAGCAGCTTCTCCATCTCGGGAGGACACGCCCAAAAGATGGCTGCCTACGAACCAAGAGGCAGACTGGGACCCAACACTGAATCCATCCAAGCCTTAACTCTAGACTTTGCGGCCTCAGGACTGTGGGAAGTAAATGTCCACTGTTTAAGCTGCCAGCCTAAGGTGTTTTTTGTTACAGCAGCCCAGATGATGCCAACAGCGTGAGTTCTGCTTCTAAAAAGCACTATCCAGAATAAAACTGGAAAGTGCCTTTATTCTGCTTTCTCATCTTCGCCGCAAATTAAAGACACCCTGAGTTGAAGGGATGAGAGTTGGAGAAGCAGCAGAGCAACCAGTGAATACGGGCACCCCCCTTCCGTGTCTGGGTCCTGGGGAGGAGTAGGGCAGCACTTGGCGTTAAAATGCAGAGAAGTGGAGAGCAGCAGTGCTGGACTTTCAGAGAGAAGCCCCACGTGCCATCTGGTGAGCAGAGACACAGCACCGCCTTGCTAAGCCAGAAGCCTAAGAAGGTCCCTGGTTTCAGCAGTAGAGAAGCGCAGGGGGCCCTCTCAGAGATGCTATGGCCTGAAATGGGGATCATGTCCGGGATCCGGCTAGCGTGGAGGAGCCAAGGCTGCCCCAAGGCCCTGTGGCTGTGGTGCCTGAGTTGACCTCGAGAAAGGACATCCAAGCAGGAGACACACCCAGGCCCAGAAGCTGAGGCCCCTTTGACGGTGGCCACGAGGGACATTTGTGACCCGCCCCTTGTCGTTTCCTGCTCCACAAGCCCTGTGCAGCTTACAGTCACACTTTATGTCTTTGAAAGAGGATGTCTTTGATAATATCGTTTGGCCTAAGCACTGTGGTAAGCCCTAAGAATGAAGAGATAAAATATTTAAACTCCTGTACTCAAGGAACTGGTGAGAGGCCTAGAAGAAATGTCTAAGTAAATGAACATTTCTATGGTACTTATATGATAAATCCTGTGAAAAATATCACTTCTCAATTAAACACCAAGAAGGCATAGAGACGGCTTCTGAGAGAGGTGCAGCTTATGACTTGTCTGAGCTGCCATGGAGAGCGAGAATGTTAGTCAGATGGTAGAAGGAGGAGTGGGAAAAACAGCCCGATGGTGAGACAAGAGTCAGCCCTCAAGGTCTAGGACAAGTGAATGAAGGGGAATCAAAAGTCAAATCACAAGACCTTGAAAGCCCAGCTGATGATGAGTGTTTTCAGGAGACATAGAAAAACTATGAAAATATTTTATAGAAGGGGAAGTAACCTTACCGTTTTCATTAAGTTAGCCAACTAAAGGGTGTATGGCAAGTGAAGAGATCTGAATTAAGGAGAATGATAAGGGAATTGTTAGCAATTTGAAAAATCTAAAATGGAATAATCAACAAACTTAAGTGCTCTAAAAACTCTGATTTTAGTAATACACATGCTCCATTTGCTTTCATGAATCTCTCCAATGTGTGAGAGAAGGAAAAACTAGTGATAGTTAGTTCCTTCAGAGCAACACCCTCATTAGACGACCCTCACCACAGGCTCTCTGCCAGAAAAGGAGGTTCTGAACCTGAAGCAAGATGGCCGCCTCCCACAACAGGTCTCCCAAGATGGTAGTTAGGTGACTTGAACAAACCATCTATCTCCTTGGCATCTCAACATATAAATTTGTGAAGTGGGCAGTGAAGATCAGACAGCAAGCATCTCTTTCAGCCTTAACCTCTCCATCTCGTGAGGACACAGCCAAAAGATGGCTGCCTATGAACCAGGAGGCAGACTGGGACCCAACACTGAATCCATCCAAACTTAACAATCCTGGACCATCTTTACTACCCATCTTTATTACTACGTAAAATTTACATTTCAAAACATCTGCAGTTTCCTGAAATTATATTGCCAAAGAGACTGGCATAAACAAGCTTGATAAAAACAAACAAAAGCAGGTGTGTATACATGTATATATAAATACCTCCACTTTGCCAGAACCGTCATCCACCATATTGTGCTGGGCCGCCATCTGCGGAGAACTGTGTAATTTTGAAGCATCAAAAGGAATTTGTTTTATCTGAGCCACTTTCTCTGTGACATAAACCTTGCCAAAGCCGTCGCTCTGATCTTTATCTTTCCAGTCCTTAAAAAACTGTTTGAAGATTGGTGTCTCACCTCCTTCTGGCAGAACCTGAATCTGCAATTTAAAATAATAATAACAAGCAAGAAAATAAGAGATCGAGGAAAAATATTACTCTAATAATGGAGAAAGAGCTAAAGAAATGAAAATACTGTCCTGGCTTCTGTGATTACAGATATACAATTAGAACCCAGTGATGCTAATAGCCCAACCCTGCTTTTCCACACAACTGAAGTAACTGCCGTGGATCTGAATGTTTGAAATAAGAATAAACTTCTTCCATATCTTTGTCTTCCAATGTTAAGTTCATAAGACATTTGACCTGGAAGAAATTATCTCACAGTGTTGCTTGAGCCATGATACAAGGAGGAAAGGCATAGATGAGGCTGAGAAATTCAGACAGGAAAAGAGTAACTGACCAATGTCTAAGCTGATCTCAATGAAGACAAATATTATCTTGGTACCAGCCCAAGTCTACGATGATGAACACTCCTGGTTCAGTCGACTGTGGTTGATTATCACAAGTTAAAGGCTGCGGAGGAAGTGAGCAGGCTTTTTCTCATTATGCAACCCTGACGAAGTCTGATTTCCAGTTTCTGCAAAACTGTACCCCACGCAAAGAACTAGGGACATACAACACAAGACTGCATGCACTCAAGTGGAGCTAATCTGCCCCCATACACACACACACTGCTTGGAAGCAAACTCTTTCCTGAGTTTAATGGGCATGTCATCATCGCCATGTTTTTTACATTTTTTTCTAGCCAATTCATCTTCCCACATACTTGAGTATTGGAGGAATAATTCATTTGCTGTAGAAATTCTTCCGCTGTCTTCATTGCCGCTCTCCTCTCCTCAGGATTAGCATCTTTGCCTAAAGTAAAAAGTAAATTAAAGACAGACAAGGTGTCAGAGAGGAAAGAAATTATATGATTAAGAAATACTTGCATGCCAAAAATAAACAGAATTATAATTCAATTTAAATAAACCAATGTGAAAATGGCAAGTATTTGCTAGAACATTAGTAGAACTATTTCATCACAGTAATAAACAGTGTTTATAAAAAGATGCTTTTGCCATTGCCAAAGTGCTTTTTAAACTCCCTAATCCCAGCTAAATGACATTGATAAGGGGAATATGGCTGCACAGTAGGTGAGATTTTTACAGATATTTCCAAAGAGTGTTAAAAGAGGGAGGTTTCTTCATCCTCCCAAGGAATTTACCTTTCCACACAAAAATTTTTTTGGCAGCACCATGATCCAAAATAAAGCATTCTTCAGAAAGCAGCATCGCCATTGAGAAGGGGTTTTCTTCGGCCACCAGAGTCACTTTCATGGAACCACTTGCGTCTGAAACCTAACGTAAAAACCGTGAGCACCACGGCTTCGTTTCGGGAGGACACAAGTGTTCTAAAGTTACATTACAGTGATGGCGACATGACTCTCTAAATGTAATAAAATTGAATCACACCATTGAAGAGCATGAAATTTACACCAGTAATACCTGGGTTCACAAATCCTTCTGTTCCCAAACAATTCAGCTGGAAAGCAGAAGTGCTGGCAAAATTTTGCTTCTGACTATGAACTCCACAGTGGTGACGAACAAGACCATAGCCCTGTTCCCTGCAGGAATAGCAAGGTGGCCGTCCTCCCCAACACTGTGGAACGAATGGAGTTTGTGAACCCAGGTATCACTGCATTATATTTCAAGAAAGCTTCCTTAGGGGTAAAAGAATTACTAATGAAGAGGTTTAATATTGAGATGAACACATCAGTAAACAACACATCAAAAACAATACCAACAACAGCAAAGGTTTACAGATAGGCTTATATGTAGTAAGCACCACGTGATGGGCTTTACCTGATTCTTTTTAAATTTTAGAGCAATCTTTTTAAGTAACAGTGATCTAACACTCACTGGACACACCAAAGGCTGGAGTTTATACAACAGTCATTAGGGCCACAGGGTGCCTATTATGTGACAGGCACTGTGAGAGGGAGGGCATTGCTCTTTCCTGGTCTATGTCAACAGATCTTTGTCCGCACAGGTCCTGCCACCAACCTGTATTGTGTGACAATTAGCACTAGTAAATTTCTTCTTTCAAATTTGGAAGTAGGACTTTTTAAATTTGCAAGTGGTCTTACAAAGTTGAAAGTGGTATCCGCACACCACATACTGGCATCACGTATGTTATATCACCGGGGCACCGGGTAACCCAGGCCCCTCCCTAGGTCAGCGGAGGAGTTTTACAGCAGCGTTTTCAACTGGGTACTTTCAGAAGCTTCCCCCAAGGGATTGTGCTTCCCACACTTTTTCAGGAGCCCCAAATTATTTTCAGATTTTAGATGTGTCCAAGAGGTTAGAGTTCCACTAGAGGGCGCCACGACCCAGGATTAACATTTCCCAATGAAAAATGGTTTTTTTAGTCCTTAATGGTACCGAGAAGAGAGAACAGTTTTGAATGATGACGAGATTTAAATGATATTCGTCAGGCTGCTGACAATGGGTTTTAGAGAAAGAAATGAAACCACAAAGTACTTAGACAAGAACTTCTGTATTTATCTTTTGTTATTTTTTACTCTCTTTAATGGTTTGATCAGTCTTGCATTCTCACATCTGGTAAGCTGAGCAAGTTCATTGAAGATACCAATATGTAATATGACAGCCACTGTTAATTCCTATCATTCTGTTTTGAAACCCTGGGTGATTTTTACTGTTTTTGTTTTGGTTTTTTTTTTTCTATGTTGTTATTTTGTTATTGGGTTTTTTAATTCTCCTTAAAATTAAAAAAAAAAAAAGAAATGGTAACCACATTTTCTTTTGCCATTTAGGAAGAATCCATTTGTCCTTTATAAAAAGGAATTTATGTTACCCAAGTTAGTAACTCCATATTCATTTAAGCCTATATGCTTCTGAGCTAGAGAGTCCTTAAAAGTACAGCAAATATAGCTCCTTCCTGTTAGAGATGAGAAAACTACTAAATTCTGCAGGAAGATTACTATCTACTCCACATGGCTTGCTTGGCAAGTTGTAAAGGGAGAGAACATTTGAAGAATCCCATTTTAGCCATCCCTTTAACTGGTATGTCTTGTAGCTTTTGTTACCCTAACCAGCAATAAAATCATAAAATTATATGGTTGGAAGGAACCTGAGTAATCATCTAGTATTCTCACTGTCCTTCTGCCCACCCAAACTCCCGTCTCTTCAGATAAGCAATTAAGGCCTAGCATGGTTATGTCCTGCCCAAGGTCACAGAACCAGTCATTCACCAGAAAGGTGACACGGCACATGGTCTGCCCAGGGTTGGTTTTATCCTGTTTTTCTTCCAGCTGACTGGTTTGAGAGAGTTTCACCTTCCTATAACAAAGAAGGCCTTTATTAAGGCTACAGAAGATATTTTAAATAAGGCAAAAATGTTATAATCTTATCAAGAATTTAGAAGAAAAAGCTAACAAAATATTTTATTTGATGAAGGACACATTTCGTCAACTGAAGTATATCAAAATATACTGGCTGCAAGCTAGCAGTAACATTTTTTTATGTAAGTCACGGCGAACATTTATTCATTGTTTTCAATAAAAATAACACAAAGTAATAAAAGAATAACTTTAACAAGTATGCAGGAGAAGAGAACTGATCTTCCTACACATTTCTCTGTGAAGGCAATGAGGAGTTATCAATGATAGCAAAGAGAAGTGCTCCCCCGTAGGCGCGCCCAGCCTCACCCAGTCCTGCAGAAAAGAGAGCTTGGGGCCAGTAACCTCACCATGTACAGTTTCGCCATCTTCCTGTTACTGATGTCTGCAAGGGCGTCATCGTCACTGTCTCCATCCGGAAGCTCTGGCTTTTTCCCTAAAACCTTGAAAAGTGAACAACAGATGAAAGATAAGTCTCATCATTAAAAGATGCAGAGGGTTTTTTTTAAAGTAAGCTGTTTTACATTTATTAAAACATTATGAAACACTGCCAGTTAAAACCCCCAGCTTTGCGTATTTCTCATCAATTCGTACAACATACACCCTTTCCTAGTAGCCAAGCCAGCCAATGACGTTAAGTAAGCAAACCTTGAGTTCACTAGCGATATGAATTTCCAAGAAAGTCAGTCCCAACTTTGGAGCCTCAAGTGTCTATATTTTTTTAAATCTATCAGAAAATGAGCACTAAAAAAAAAAAGTTCTTAAATTCAGCTCTGCAACAGAATTTCTTCTGTGACTTCTGCTTCTAGAAATAATCTATAGTTTTTATGAAATCATTTTTATGAAGACTTGGATTACAATTACTGAGGGTAAAATATGATTGTTACTGAGCTATTGCAGGATGGTGACCCTAACCATGTGTTGTCTCCCGCTGTATTACTGACTCTTAGCACCGGGCCTGGGATGGAGTAGATACTCAACAAGTACCTGCCAAATAAATTAACAGATGTATTTGTCTGTTCTTTGCGTGCGGAATACAATCCAAAAGCTTGAGCGAAGTTTTTGGTAGAAAATACATCTGAGTCTGCTTTTTAAAATATGAAACTCACAAAAAATATGTCTATAGACATTGTAATTAATCCATTAAATTAACTGACACAAATACCATACGCAGGGGCCGGGGCTATAGCTCAGTGGTGCAGCGCCTGCCTGGCATGTGTGAGGTCGTGAGTTCGATTCCCGATACCAAAAAAAAAAAAAAAAAACAAATACCATTCACAGAATGTTAAAGATAGAAATAAAATATACTTATTCCAAATAATGTGATGTTACGATATAAATATCAATCCAAGTTCAGAAAAGAAAAAGAAGGTGTTTATTTAAGTGCAACATATCTAACAACAATTAGTTCGGTGTATAATGTTTTTATTCAGTATCCTTTATACTGTATTACATGAAAATATACACTGCCAAATAGCTAACAACTGTAAAAGTGTACAAAAACCTAACAGTGCACAAGTATGGGCACAATCTAGAGTTAAAGTGCACCAGAGAGCTCACCCTCTGGGAACATGACACCATCTTGTTTAGACAATGACCAATGAAGCACTGTAATTAACCATACCTGCCAACTCGTAGAGTTTTACTTTTTGGCTAAATGTAGGATCATACCCAAAATTAAAGCATTTGCAACCAAGGCTTTTTTTAACATTTATAATTTGATAGAAGTACACATATCTTCTTCCCTTTTCACAGTATCTATTGTACATTTATGTTCTCATTTACATTTCAGTGTCTCACACCTGAGAAAGAATGAGATATTTACACATGTGTGTCCGACTTATTTCATTTATGATTATGGTCTCAAGGTCCATCCATCTACTTAAACTGTTCAAAAGGGAAAGAGAAATAGGGAAGGGAAAGGGGAAAAGGAAGGAAGGGAAAGAAAAAATGAGAAAAGAAGGATAAAATGAAATCTAAGCTCTGTGAAAGGGGAGGGGAAGGGGATGGAATGGGGAAAAAAAGAAGAATCAAGATATACCATGTACAGATACAAATCCCCTATAGTGATCATGGTCAATTATATACACCTAAATTGTACCAATAAGCTTAAAATAAATACATAGATAGATAGATAGATAGATAAATAGATAAATAGATGGTAGATGATAGATAGATGATAGACTGATTGATAGATAGATAGATATTGGTATAGGAAAAACAAGGACACATAGCTCATAAGAACCACCAAAAGTCTCCTCATGTACCCTTTCATAATTCTACTCCAACAGAGACAGTTGTTTGGAGTAAAGAATTCAAATTAAGGGCATATCTAATACTGAGAGGTCTCCCAGTGGGACAACTGAGTTTGCGATTTCGGGCAAACTCTAACTTTTAATTTTAGACATTTCTCAAACATCACAATTTAATTCATATTACCCAGATCTCTTAATTAGCCTTTCAAAGGATTATAACACAGCTGGGACCAAAGGCACTGACTGAGAACAGGCCTAACTCTAGGGCAGAGGCACATGGTACATTGTCAGGTACCCCTATGGATCAGTTTAATTTTTTTAAATTTTTTTGGGGGGGTACCAGGAATCGAACTCAGGACCTTGCATTTGCCAGGCAGGTACTTGTGCTGCTGAGCTATATCCCCGCCCTCCCGTATCATTTTAAAACCCAGTTCAACAATTAAGCATTTATTGAGCAATTCCCTGGGGAATATAAATGAGTTTCCAAGCACCTTGCCCAACCCTTAAGGGATTTACAACCTGCCCGGAGAAAACAAAATAACTAAACATTTTCACTTTACTAATTGTGTCATATATTCTGATCTTTGAAATAAACTTATCAGTCAAGCTTTTCTTTACTTTACAGGTAAGATCATGCCTAAATTTAAAGCACTTTCATTTTAGGCTACCCATATGGCTGGCATGTAGTTCATATAACCTTCTAGATGTGAAATGACACATATTTTGACAAAACAAAGAGGTAAGAAAACAAAGAAGTCTTTTTTGAGAATCTGCCATAAAAATATCAACTGTCCCAGCCAAGAATTATCATCATTCAAGGCTGGAGCTCTCTCCTCTCCCAAATGGTTTCCTGTAAATTTTCATTTAAAGTACTACTGTCTAATCTGTTTCAAACAGAACTTATTTTCTACAGAACTGATCATTTTTTAATTCCCCAGATGTGTTACCTTTGCAAGTCTCCTCTTAACCCAGACTTACGATCACTTTGAATACTTCCTGTCTTCCGCTCTGAATCTCCTGAGTCTATGTCTGGCCTTACCACCCCCCTGCCGTGGCACCCTTCCCATGCTCGGTGTCTCAGTCCATGAAGTAGGGAGCTTTGCGGTGTTGTTTCTGCTTTACAGCCACCAATCACGGTCGGACACTGAGCGCCCTAAACCTCACTTGCTTTAAGCTGTGTGTGTTGAGTACTATGTGTCAGCCAGGAGAGAATTGACTACTACAGGAGCTCACAGGAGCTGGAAATAGGGTGGCGAATCCCAGGGCTTGGCAGAAATAAGGCGGGAACAAATTTCAGTTATATGAGGAATAAGTTCAAAGATTTAATGTACAGCACATTGGCTATAATCAGTGTTAATGTATTGGTACTTGAAATTTGCCCAGAGAACAGATCCTATTTCTCATCTCTCTCACACATACAAAAATAGTAACTATGTGCAGTGATAAATATGTTAAGCAGCTTGATTGCAATAAGCATTTCACAACGTATATGTATATCAAAACCTCACTTTGTATAACTTAAGCATATTTATATTTATTTGCCAATACTGCCTCTGTAAGTTTCAAAATTTTTTTAATTAGAAAATAAAGCTATTATCTTACATCTATCACAGTGGTTCTCAAACTTCAATGTGCTCAAGCAAAATCTAGGCAAGTTAATAAAATGCAGATTCACAACCACCAGCTTTACGTACACAGACTTAGGGTGAGGCCCCTGCACCTGCCCTCCTCTAACCTGGGTATTTATCGAACAGAGCCAAACCTCCCCTGTCTGGATCCCAAGGTTCCTCCACAGGTTGTGTGCTACCCACCCCTGATTATTTCCCAGCATTCATTCTCTCCCTGTGCCTTCCTCTAGTCAGGATGATGTTTTCCATGTCCCTGTGGGAGCCATGCCCTTTCCTTCCCCTGGGCTTTACCTAACACTGGCTTTAACTTCTACCTAGTTTGGCAGGGTGTGGCAGAAGCAGAACTGAGCAATTATTCTTTGCCTTGGTTCAGTGAATAACAATTAAGAGCATAACAGTTACTGCTTGTTCAACATCTGAGTCACACACTATATTAGGAGCATTAGACACACAATTTCATCCTAACAGGAGCTCCCGTGAACTAGATACAGCTATCCTAATCTTACAGAAAAGGACACAGATGTTTAAAGGGTTGCAATAAGTTCACAGAGCTAGTGAGTGCTGAGGCTCAGTAATGCCATTTCAGTAACTCTCAAAATCACAGGTCACACAATCCCCTAAATCAAAGAAAACTGGGCAAATTATTTAAATGGGCAAAAAGATTCTTTCCATACGTGGTATCTAGGGGATCCATCTAGTGATCTGACGAGACAAGGGTCTGCACCTTTCCTCTGAACTAATTCCTAGTTCAGTGTAAGATGGATAGCATCGAATGATTTTCATTCATAGAAGTCCACATGAGTTTTGTTTAGTACAGATAAAAACAATTTATGCCCTGAACAAGAGGCCAGCTGGCCTATTAGCAAGTTTATTTCAACACTATTGCCCATACATTTCATTAAACTAGCTGTAATATTTTATTGGTTTCCATATTAATCAAAGGATTAATATAAACTTTTACATCAGTCATTTTATATTTGTATAAGGTTCATGATTTTACTTCTTTGAAAACTACCCTTAACCATCTAGTATTCTTCTTGTCAAACCACATGTATTGAAGTCTGTTTAAATATTTATTACCTTTAATTAAGTATTATTTGTATTCAGGTAATACTTGCTAGCGTTGAGATGTTGTGATGTAACAGACACTATTCTAGTCAATTTGCAGTTATTGAATCATTTCATTTTTGTTAGATTTCCCTTCATGGAGATACAATACCCCAAACCCACAACTTAAAGGAGGAAAGATTTGATTTGGCTAATGGTTTCAGGAGATTCAGTACATGGAAGGTTGTATCCAAAGCAGAAACATCATGACAGGACAGCACAGCTGTTTAGTTCATAGCAACCAAGAAGCAAAGCAGGAAAACAGTCTCAAAGTGGAAGGAGTGAGGGACCAGCCATAAAGGCCATATGTGGTAGTCAGGGGCTTACAAGGGGAAACAATATGGGACACACAATTTATAAGATTATTTTATGACAGTCACCCAAAGAGTCATACACAAAAAGTATGCAGGAAATGTGTCTGAAAGACCAACAATCCAGCTAAGGGCCTGGATC